GGGCCCGCAGGCGGCCTCAGGTGCCCCGCCTTCTCACCTGTCCGCATTTCTCGGAGGGAATGGGGAAGGAGCTTGCTTCCTGTCTGGTACGGAGCCAATGCAGAGGAGTTAAATTGCTCCCCCAGGTTCAAAAGTCAGCAGGTAGAAGTGGAAGTTTTAATGAGAAGAAATTTCTTTGTATATCCAGATATAGACCCTCCCCTCAAAAATAGAATCTGTAATTTTATCAAAAGCTCCATGAGCACTGGGACTTCGTGCCATTCTTCTTTTTATGATGTATACCTTTATACTAGTTGGGCATCTGTTGTGCGTCAGGCCCAGTGCAGGGTCCTCTCACGTGTCCTCATTTGTTCTCAGAACTTAGGGGTGGCGGGGGAGAAACTGAGGCCAGAGAAGAAACACGGCAGAACGTCCCGAGGTTCCCACCGCTACTGCTAGACCCCAAGTATGCGCGCCCTCTCTAGCCTCAGCCTCCTCGCCCCGCAGCCAGGCCCCTGGGGTGAGAGGCACTCAGAAGGCACCTGTGGAAACTGAGCCACTTAATCCAGGGATGGAAGGTGCAAACTTGCTTTGACAGAGGCAGCCCCAGCTTTCAATGGGCATGCACCCCCAAAGATACCCTCAAGAGGCATGGCTGGGAATCACAAACTGAACAGGAAATGGCAATTTGATGAGCACCGGGGAGGAGAGGAATGAGCCTGGGGACTGGGTTACAACTAGGTGCCCTCTCGCCGCTGGTGCCCCCCCCCGCACCCCGCAGGTCAGCCCAGCCTGCTGGTGGAGGGGGGAGTCAAACCCGAGGTGGCCGTGGCGGCGACGCGATCTTCCTGTCCTGCCGGAGGCAGGCGTGCGCCCCTCACAGCCCCGCCCACGCTTGCCTCTCTGTAGAGCTGCTGTCACAGTCTTACTTTCCACCTCGGTTCGTGCGTTCCTTCCTCTAACCATATAAACATGCGCTGCGGAGTCAAGTGGACGTACTGTAATTACATCTTCTTCCCAGCACAACTTTCTGGTTTTCCCTCAGAGCTGTAATCACTTAGCCTTTTTGCTGGCTCAGTCCCCACTGAACTCAGAGCCAAGTCTTCCTGCCTCCAGCAGGGACACTCCTCAGAGTGACCCTCCTCACGGTCGGACCTGAGGCTCGTCCCTCTGCTCTGGTGCGAGTTGGGCACCTGTTGCTCAGGCCGCCGGCCAGCCCCGGCCAGAGCCTCCCCGGGGAGCCCGGGCAGCTTCCTTCCAGGTCGGTCAGGGAAGCGGGAAGGCCGCCCCCTCAGCTTCCTCCCGCAGAGGGAGCAGCCGCGAGGGGGAAGGCAAGGAGAGAAGGCCCTCTGCTCGCAGGGCAGGTGGGGCGGGTGCCAGCGCTCTGGACAGCAGGTGGTGGCTAGAAGCAGCCCCGCCCCGCGCCTAGGGAGCCACGGCCGCCCCGCTGGAGCTGCCGCTGCTCCTGCTCCCCCTGCTGAGCAGGCCTCATTTCCCTTCACTTCCCCAGCCGCCCGCAGACAGGGTTTGCGGGCCATGCCGTCAGCCACCCGTTCCCAGCCTACAAATGTAATGATTTGTGCAGTCATCGCTACAAGCCATTTTTAGAACATTTCCATTACCCTAGAAAGCTCCCCACGCTCATGTGCAGTCACTCCCAGTTGGTTCCTTCTTTACAAAAAGAAAATAGACTATTTTAAGACAACGGAAAAGCGTGGAGGGCCACATCAGGAACACCTACGTGCCCACCGTCCAGCTTCATCAGAGCTTAAGCTTTTGCTTTACTTTGCCCAGAATTTCTTCTTCTTTCTTCTTAACAAAGCGTAAACACGGGAAGCTGAAGCCCTCCGCATGCCCCTCCCAGGACCACTGCCTTCAGAGGCGGCCACTCCCCTGACGCGGGTTCACGAGCGTGTGGGCATCTTTCCTGTGGGACACGTGAGGTGCTCTGCGGAGGCTCCTTCCGCAGCCTGCTATTCAGGACGACCTCCGTGGTACGGTTTTGGGTGTGTTACGTGGACACATGCAGCCCCAGAAGGGTATTCTAATTGCTGCCTCTTGTCTCGTTGCACAAAGGGCTACGAGGCGTCTCCTCATCCCATGTTGGACTGGTTTCCAGGTTCTCAAGGTGCCAGCTTTTCTTTAGAGCTGTCCTTTGGTTAGTGGCTAATTTTATTAAATCGTGTCTGTGAATTTGGCCTCCTCATGTCTTCTGGGCGTTAAAACACGGTGAGATTTCCTTTGTGGCTTAATAAATGGCCCGCTCGTCACTGTGCCCCACATTTTAACTTTATCCACACAAGCCGCGGAGGAAGGGCTGTGTTCCTCAGAGCCTCCGCAGGCCTAGTCTTCTGCTTGGCCTGCTCACTGCTGAGAGAGGCGCGTCACGGCGTGCGCCACGCCTGCGGGCCTGTCAGTTTGCTTGTGTCCTAGTCAGTTTTTGTCGTACGCACCTCGGGGCCTTTGCTCAGGACGCGGGGACCTACGACGGCGTGGCTCCCCGCACGCTCTGTGCTCTCGGAGGGTTGTCTGCCCTGAGTCGCGTCGTGCGATGTTCTTTCTGTATTGATTGGTGTTTTCTAGCATGTAACTTGTGTGTTTTATTCCTTTATTTTCAGCCTTCAGCGTCTCTTTTAACAGTTTATCTGATAGACAGCATTTCTTTCTTTCTTTCTTTCTTTTTTTTTTGAGTCAGATCGGGTCCACATTTTACTGTCACCAAAAAAACAACAACCTGACACCTGCAAAACATTTGAATTATCCCACCTCGGTGTGCGCTGAACTCAGATACAATTCAGTCTCACGTAAATTCGTTACCTGGAAACAAAGGTATGTAAAGGAAATGAATTGGTATCGCATGGCACTCAGTGTATTTGAGTGTCAATCTGAGAAGGGGCATCACAGAGCAGTTAGCTCTGGGGGAAAATAACAGATGACGAAATTAACACGCACAGTACTTTAACTCTACACAAACCCCTTCAACACAAACATTTTGAGTGATTCAGAAATCAGCAGGAATTCCACCACGGCTGACGCCTACTTTCAGCTGCACGTGCGCGCACACACGTAACCCCCTCTTGGACACCTTTTTTGATCCCTCCATGCAGCTACAGGGGGCGTGTCTGTCATCACAGGCTGCGTAAAAATCACCTGTTTTCTCAAAGATCTGTTGGGAAGGCCATGTGAAAAATTGTATAGATGTTAGAAATGCCTATGAGACAAGCATTTATCTCAGAATCTGTTTTCCTTTTATGTTACTAGGAAAATAAATCTATCAAGTACGTCCTTTTATTGCCCACAGTATCTAAGTATCCGATTTGAAGATTTTATAAATCTTCATTATAAAATGAAGAACTGGGATGAAAACCATTGTCTGTCTGACTCCAAAGTCCCCCTCTTTCCTGCCCACCAGAGCTCCTAAAGGGAAAACACACTGTATTTTTTCTTTTTAATGGTGGTAAGATACACAGGACGTGAATTTAACCATTTAACCATCTCCACCAGTTTTAAGTGTAAAGTTCAGTACTATTAAGTGTACTCACATTGTTGTGCAACTAACGTCTAGAACTTTCTCATCTTGCAAAACTGAAACTCTCTCCCATTAAACAACTTTACGCTTCTTTTTAAAATAAAAAAAATGTTTTTACTATAGAAAATTTCACACGTACGCAGAAGTAGGCAGCACCGTTTCAGGAGCGCATAGGCCCTCGACGTGGGCGTCAGCGGTGCTCAACGCGGCCAGCCTTGTCTTCAGCACAGCCCTCCCCACGCCCTCCCCACCCCGGATTATTTGGAAGCAAATCCAAAGCATCATGTCCTGTTATGTGTAAATATTCTAGCACAAGACTCTAAAAGGCGACACTTTTTTTTAACATAATCACAAAACCTTTAAAGTCTAAAAAAATGTACAGTAATTTCTTGATATCACATGGTCCGTGTGTTGTGACTGGCAGGCCGTCTCTTCAGCCTCTCATCTATGGGCTCCCGCACCCCATCCCCTCTCTGACACTCCACTGTTTGTCTTCGTTGAGGGGGGGTGGCTCCAGCCTGGACTTTGCTCATCGCGTCCCTGCGATGTCTATAAACCCCTCCCCCGCCCCGTTGTTCCTAGACACTGGCCGTTCGATCTAAATCATTGATCTGACTTGGCTTCAAGAATAAAAATCGTTTTTATTTTATTTCCTTCATGACGATCTCATTTCTGCTGCTGTCTCACCCGAGGCCTAGGCCAGCTGGCAGCACGCGCCGGAGGGCAGCGTGCCTCTGCGGCGCCTCAGCCGGTGACCGTCACGGCTCCATCCGATGTCACGCGTGGGCATGACACGGGGCCGTTCTGAGCACGCCCTTCCTTCTCAGGGTGTTTACTGGAATCATCCGTGAGAGGAACGCCCTGGAGGGGAACGCTGAATTGGAACTTGTTCTATTTTTCAAGCTCAGCAAGGCGTTAACTTGTGGACGGCGAGTGCGACCCGTCCCCAGGGGCGCGGCCCTGGGGCTCTGGCATCCGCGCAGCGTGTGAAATCGTTCCTGACGTCTTGTTGTGCGTGTTTAAGTCACAGTTCTTTCTCACTTGCTCTATTTCCCTTGCCTTTTTAAAACAAAGGTTGTCATGTTCTTTTTTCAGACGTGCACTTCGCACTTCTGTTTTTTAGGGGACTTTTAATAATTGTCACATATAAAATTGAATATTTTCTATTAAAACATCCATCGATGAGTGTCAGAAACAGCAGCCCACTCCCCTGGTCGCCTCTTCTGTGCCTCTCGGATTTTTTTTTCAGATTGTTGATATTTTTACCACGATTTGAAGATCAACGGGTACTCGGGTTTAACAGTTTTTACTTACTCGGTTGGCCACCTCTGCTTCACCTGCCCTTGGGTGCCTCTTGGATTTCCCATCTGTCTGTTGTTTACTTCTGGAGCGCGTCTTTCCAACAGAGTTTGGGGTGGTTTGCATCTGAGTCCCGGTTCCTCTGAAGAGCCCTGAGTTTTGCTCCTTTTTGGGTGTAGTCAGTCAGTGTCTCCCCTTCCCCTCGCTTCCCTCTGGCGTAGTCCTGCCCCTTCGCCTGCTCTCTGTCTCCGTCCCCCCAGATCTGTGGCGTTTTCTTATCATTACTGTTCTGTGCTAGCATCAGAATTTACCCAGTTATGGAACCTTTTCAAATTTTTTTTCTTTTTGGCAGGGAAGGTAATTAGGTTTATTTATTTAATGGAGGCACTGGGGATTGAACCCAGCACCTCACACATGCTAAGCACGTGCTCTACCACTGAGCTGTACCCTCCCTCCCTGGAACCGTCTCCTTCCTCCCGACTCATGCAGTGGCCTCTTCGCCTGGGTGCTCTCTATCTCTCTCTCTGTCTCCGATCTGGAGCTTTTTGTCTGTTCCCCTCCCTCTGCTCGCTGTTCCCTGTCCTGGATCCCCTGCAGCAGCGGGATGCTGGGTACCCACTTGTCCTCCTGAGCTGATGCCCTCACCTGCTCGCTGGTTCATTCTCCAGCGTCTGTCATTCTGCCCTTCATCCATGTGAGACTTTTTTATTTCCACCATCCAAGCTGGACTCCCCAGTGCCGGCTGGATGCTTCTTTGATGAGTGCCTGCTCCCCTCCTGTGCGCTCAATCTGCAGGCCGGGTCGAGCGCTGCCCCCACTCCACTCTGCCCTTCGTGGCTCTCCGTCCCCTGCAGGGGACAGCCACCCCCTCAGTGGGCAGGGGACTAGCAGAGTGCCCCGGGGGCCCTGGTCCAAAACCGCCCCCTCACAACTGCTCTGCTTCTCGCCGCGAGCGGGCGTGGGGACGGCGTGTTCCCGTCACTCCCTGTGGCAGCGCAGACAAGGGGGCTGAGCTGGATGGGGCAAATGTGGTGTAATCGCCCATGTAACTACTTCCTCCAGATTGCTGACTTGAACAGGAAGCGTCGTGCCTCCGCTGCAGGGTCCCTGGCGGCCTGAGTCCTCCAGACGTGCCGCACCAGGCTGGTTACAGGCGGAGCCGCAGCCCGCGCGGACACCCCACCAGGTCTCCAGGACATCAGGTGGTGAGTGGGCCGGGCCCCCGGGGCCGGGCTGGCGTTTCTGGAGGGAGCGTTCAGCCCTGGGGCTCTTCCCCAACGAGCGGGCGCTGCCCTTCCCCTAGGAAGCAGCTCCAAGGGGCCCAGCCGGCAGGGGCCCCAGTGGCCCTGGTCTGGGTCGCCCGCCCTGGGATCGCCGCTCCAGACCCCTCGAGCTCAGACGCAGTGACAGGAGGTCCTGGCCCCGCGGGCAGAGCTATGGCGGGGTGATGGGAGCGAGCTCACTGAGGGGACAGCCCCAGCGTGGCAGGATGCTGTGGCTCAGCCCACAGGCCACGGCTCCCCGGTCTCTCAACAAGCCCCAGACACTGCCGAGGCCCGAAGCTGGGGGCTGCGAGGCCTGGCAGAGCCAGGAGGAGGCTGGGGGGCAGGCACGCCCCCGCCCCGACTGTGCAGGAGGCTCCCGGGGCTGACCTCTCCTGTCTGAGCGGTCCCCCTCCTCTGTCCACGTCTCCGCTGTTGCCAGGGGGTGCGGGGGTTCCACCCTCCAGCAGGCCTCTGCACGGGAGTGTCGGTGAGTGTGCGTGTGCGTGGTGTAGTCTCTTGGTGGCGGGTCTGCCGTTTCTCTCAGATTCCTGAAGGTTCACACGCTCTGGCCTAACGATGTGCAAACGCTGGGTGACAGTGGAGTTTTAGGGGGACCGACGCCAGGTGTGTGACCTAACCCTCCCACAGCCAGGCCCTTGGAGGCCTGCTCCCCTGGGAGTGGGAGGCGTGAACCTGCACGAGTGTCTGGAGTGGGGCTCGCGGCTGTCCCTGGGCTTCGCCCTGACGGGGGGCAGTCAGTCCGTTTTGCGACAGGCTGGGCGGGATGCCCGGACGCCTCTCTCCCGGCCTGGGCTTTCTGAGCTGAGACCGGGGTGGGGGGCAGTCTGCCTGCAGCTGGCGTCAGCCGACCCTGTGCAGACACGCAGCAGGCCCGGGACAAGTTGCAGTTGTTACCTGGAGATTTCACGAGGGCACACTGCCAGTCCAGCAGAGAAGGCACCGCCGCCCAGGGGTGGGAGAGGCTGGCCTGCACCCTTTCCAGAAGGGCATGAAGTGGGCAGTCTGCCTGGCCTCCCATCTGTGAAATGGGCCAGTGGTTTACACCCCAGCTGACTCAAGCTGAATTATAATTCAAGACTCACTTCCCTGGGGGGTGAGACACTGGGCCTGCGGACAAGCTGTGCCTGTGTCCAGAGGGCCCAGCAGGGTCAGCTTCGGCCCAGGCTGTGCTCCGCAGGTAACAGGGCCATGAAGAGGTGTTTGCCCCGTAGACAGGGCAGCAGAGATGGGGCCCTGGGGGGCTCAGGCCCCACCAGCTCTGGAATGAGTCTGAGGGTGCCCCACCGCTCTGCACACCTGTCACTGAGGGTGTCCCCCGGTCCCACCTGCGGCAGTGTCCTGGGGTGGCTGCTGGTGGTCAGTGACACTGCTCACCCTGTGGGGACGGCCAGGCCTCTCTGAGAAGCCTGGTTCTGGTGCTCTCCACTGGTGCTAGGCAGTCCCCTCCTGATGTCCCTGTGACACCACTAGGCAGACAGGGCTGGGTGATCACCGTCCATTTACCCTTTGCACAAACTGGACCTAAGATAGGGCACTGGTTCTGGCCCATGGAGGCACCTCCATGACCTGCCTGTCCCAGCCGTGCTGCCTGCCCATCCACTGCCTGGCTGCTGAGGCCTCGTCCCTGCACACAGGGTCACGGTCAGGCGGGTGGAGTCTGCCTGCATCTCAGAGGCAGGCGGCTCAGAGCGTAGCGGGGCGGCCCAGGTAGCTCGGGGATGCTCGGAAAGAGCCCTTCAGCTCCAACCCCCAGCTTCTCCCTGGGGCGGGACAGGCTGCTGGGGGAGGGGGGCCTTAACGGGCCTGGGGGTTTCCGGCTGCTCCTGCTGCTGGTGAGCGGGCGTCTTGGTGATGCGGCAGGTGCGGTCAAGCCCCTGAGCTGCCCAGCCTGTGACCTGGGGAGGCCTTCCTGCTTGGCCCAGGCTGCCCTGGTAAAGCTGAGGGTGTCCTGGTGACACCAGGGAGCCCGCACCCCCGTCTCCTCCATGATCCCTCCCAGGCACTGGGGTCCCTGCTCCCCAGACCCTTTATGCAGCCCAGGTCTGAGGTGGTGTCACACGGGCTTGGGTGGTGGGATGCCACCACCACGTGGCTCTGATCGGGGCAAGATAAACAGGAGCTGGGTCCCCTCGCCGCCTCCAGAACACATGAAGCAGGAAACCGTGAGTCTGCCCACCCACCTCAGCTATGAAGGGGTGTTAAAAACACCACTAGCAGCTTTCCCTAAGCCTGGGTGCTCATCTTGGAGTGTGTAGTAGTCAGCATTCTCCAGAAAGACAGAACCAACAGGACGTGCGTGCGTGCGTGTGTGTGTGTGTGTGTGTGTGTGTACACAGACTTATTTTGAGCAATTGACTTATGTGATGAGGGAGGCTGGCAAGTCCAAAATCTGCAGGGCAGGCTGGAGACCCAGGAAGAGTTGATGTTGCAGCTTGAGTCTGCAGGCCGTCTGGGGGCAGAATTCCTTCCTCCTCAGGAGACCTCAGTCTGTTTTCTCTTATGGTCTTCAACTGATTAGATGAGGCCCACCCACATTTTGGAGGCAATGTGCTCTTCTCAAAGTTTTTTTTTTTGAGGCTGGCTGTGCTCCTTTATTTAATTTATTTTTTAATTGAAGTATAATTGGTTCACAATGTTGTGCTGATCTCTGTTGTACAGCATGGTGATTCAGTTACACACACACTTACATATTTCCTTTTCATATTCTTTCTCATTATAGGATATTATAAAGCATTGTGCTATACAGCAGGACTCTGTTGGGGTCTTTTGTTTGTTTGTTTGTTTTAATATGAATGGTTTCAATATAGGACCCTGTTGTTTATCCATTTCATATATAGCAGTTAGTATCTGCAAATCCCAAACTCCCAGTTTATCCCTCAAAGTCTATTTTGATTTAATGGCAATCTCGTCTAAGAAGTACCTTTGCAGCAACATCCAGACCAGAGTTTGAGCAGATATCTGGGTACTGTGGCCTAGCTGAGTTGCCACATGAGTTTCACCATCACGGCCCCCTTGGCTCTCTGTGACAAGGGAGGGAGCTGAGGCCCAGAAGGTGAAGTGACCCGTCCACAGTCCCTGGGCAGCTGGGCGTGAATGTGAGGGCATCAGCCCTGGAGTCCGGCTGAAGTGGCCCCAGCCCCGGCGCCTCTCTCTGTGGCCTGGGCCCAAGGTGGGCCCTCTCAGAGCCAGCCCTAGGACTGGGGAGCAGGTTTGTCCAGCCCCAGGGCGGCTGCAGATGGGCTGAGGCCATGACGCAGAGTGCGGCCAGGCCTGTGGGGTGGCTGCTGTGGCAATGCCCAGCCCCGGGCCTCTGGCACCTGGAGACTTGAGTGGCTGTCTGGCAGGAGCCACTGTCCCCTGGCTGAAGCTCCCCATGAAGATCGGCCGTGTCTGCTGTCACCCCACCACTGTGTTCAGGCCCCCACAGCCACCGGCCTCTGCCCAGGAGATGTCACAGAGCAAATCTCACCCCCTTTCCCTCGGCACAAGGTGTGGGCCCGGGGGTCCTGGATGCTCTGATCTGGCCAGTCTGAGATGCAGGGACCTCTGCACACACGTGGCCTGATGCCTCTGCTCTGGAAGCTTCCAGGGAGGGGGTCCTCAGGGGGTGTTGCCACTGGGCTGTGACTGAAGTCGTCCCGAGGAGTCCCTGGCTGGCTGAGGAGCTCAGGGCAGGGGCCGAGGCCAGCCTCCTTGTTACAAAGCTGGGGATCCTGCCCGACGGGCCTTGGGGAGAGCGGGCCACCCGGTGCCTCCCTGAGCGCGGGCGCGGGCGCGTGCTCCCTCCTGGTGCTCCGGGGGGCTGGAGGTGCTCAGAGGCAGCCCCACGGGAGCAGCGCTTCCCGCCAACTCCCTTTTAAATCGTCTGGATGTGGCCCTGCGGTGTCGTCTGCAGGGGTGGGGCCTTCCCATGTCCGGGAAATTCGGGGAGAAGGACGGGTTGGGGTGCTGCAAGGTCTGGCTCGGTAGAGGCTGGAGCCCTAGAATCCGGGAGAGCAGGGCCCGGGGAAGAGACAGACAGGCCCTCGTTCCCTGAGCTAACGAGTGAATGGGTGGCTGACGAGCAGGCGTCTCAGCTGGGAGTGACTGTCCTCAGAGACGTCGCCAGTAAGAGTGGAGAAAGTGACCGCTTTGAGAATCCAGAGAAACTTGAGAGCAATTCATCAACCACCACGGAATTCGGTTTTCTTAAATGTATGATTAAACATCGTTGTAGATGTTTATTGTGTAAGTTGGAAAATGCGAGCAGCACTAACGAAGAAAACTGAAAAGCCCGTGTGATTCCTCCGCCCGACGCAGCAGGGCCCCTTCGGCTTATTCACGTTTGCTCCGTTCCCTCACGCTGACTCCTTACCGTGAAAGTGGGGCTGCCCTGAGCGGCTGTCCACGCGTTTCCGTGCGGTGCGGGACCCACCGCGTGCGCGCCGAGGTGCTGAAAGTGCACGCGGGGCGACAGCCGGGCTGCAGTCCGGTCATCCGCCTGGGCGCCCGGTGACCCGCCGGGGTGGCCTCCCAAACGCGCAGGACGCGGGGCGCGGGGCGCGGGCTTTGTGACTGACTCTGAGACCCTGGAGGCGAAGGTCGCTAGCCGCCTTCCGCACGAGACGGACAGCCAACCTCTCCATCCAGTCAGATTTTCACGCACAAAATTAGTTTTGAGTCTGTTTTCTCAGCATTTTCTCCTTTCGTTTTTATGCTCCGGGTTCCTTACTCTGAGATACCCATTCTTCTATCCCTTTTATCCCTTTATTTCCGAAAACTGAATTTCCACGGCCCCCGGCGTGGAGAGGCACAGCCCTGGCCTTCCCAGACGGCCGCCGAGCACCGGGGCCGGGGTCACCTGACGCTGCCCAGAGCCTCTCGGCGCCTTTTGCAGGCCAGGCGGCAGCGCGCTGCAGCCGCCGCAAGGCTCCCTGGTGGCTGCCGCGCTCCGTCCCAGGCTACCTGCCTCGTTGCTGCTTTCCCTGAGAAACAGGGTGGGTTTTTTTAATTTAAAACAATTCTTACTTTCATTGTTTTATTGAAGTTTAGTCAGTTACAGTGTGTCAGCTCCTGGCGTGAGACACAGGTTTTGATGCGTCTATCAGCAGTAGCTTTCTGTTTGTTTTCTGATTCGTCAGCTTCTGCCATTGTCCGTCTGTTTCCTGCGACCTTTACCTTATTTCCTTCGCCCCCCGGCTCTGTCTCTCGTCCTGAAGCCTCCATCTGCGCCGGTAGCATCGCTCTTCCCGCCCCCCGCGGAAGACTGCAGGGCACCAGTCCTCCGTCTCCACCTGGAGCAGTTTTCTTCACACTGAGCAGAGAGCGCGGTGCTGTCTCCTTCCTAAAGTGTCTGTAATTATTTTGATTTCCTCTTGGACTTAATGGGTGTTTTGCAAAGTGTTTTAAAATTTCTAGTTGGGGGGCGGGGCATGCGTCTCATTGAGTCCATTTCCTCAGAAACCGTGGCCCCAAGAGTTCTGCCACCAGACCCCACGGACGGCGAGCAGTGGTGCTCACAGGAAGGGGGTTTTGCAGGGCCGCGAGCGTGTCGGCTCAGACAACGTGCAGGGTGCATCCCCCTCTGTCCTCTCTGCTCTCCTCGGCCCCTGGGTCTGTCTGGAAACTCTGGGGCCCGGGAGTGGGGTGCTCCAGCCTCCCAGAATCAGCTTCTGTCCAATTCTTTCATGTCTTTACACAAAGCAGGAACGACCACATCTTGCTGCTCTGTCTTTCAGTTTTAAAAGGTCGATTTCTACTTTAGCTCCATTGTAAACGCTGGCTTTTTTCGACATGAAACAGCCTTGAATCCTTCACTCCTGGGATGAGTTCCTGACCCCCGCCTTCCCTTCAGTCCCCTGTCGCTTGCTGGCCGTGCCTCCTGTGAGCCTGCACCGGAAGGGCTGAGGACCTGAGCCTGGGCAGTCACAGGCAGGCTCTGATGCAAATCCCGATGGTCAGTGGGGCCTCGTCTGAGGGTCTGCACTCTGGCAAAGCCTCGTCTCTGACCGGCCTGATCCAATACCAGCTGACCCTGCGTCAGACACCCAGCCTCCTCTACCTCTTGCTCAAACTTAGCTTTTTAATATTTCCTCTTTTTCTTCTGTCTTTTACCAAATATGGATCGTGGTTTTTCTGGCATTTGGAAGGAATACATCCCATTTTCTACTGATGCTCCCGAGTCTGGGACCTTGGCGTTCAGAGCTCCAATCAGCACAAAGGGTGATGCCCTCAGGACGTGGGGAGGGGCACCCGGGGTCTCAGAGAAGCCTCCAGGAGGGGGTGACAAGCCACTTCCTGCACTTTAGCTCCGTTGCACCAGCGCTCCCCTACCGAGAAGGGTCAAGTTCAAGGGCAGCTCTGATGAAAGTCCTCAGGGGCCGGTGGGGCTCTGGGTTTCTCAAGCCACCTTACACTTGGGGTTTTGCACCTTGAGTCCAGGTGAGGGGCCCGTGCGTAGATGCGGGTACACGGTGCCTGGGGGCTCCGCAGGACCAGGCTCTCCTCCCTGCTCTCGGGCTGGCCTCCTTGCCGAGTCGAAGGCAGGCGCGGGCCGAGCTACATGGCCTGTCCTCCAAGCCCGTCCTTCCCCAGAGCTGGGGGAGGCCCGCGAGCCCCTCCAGGCACACAGAGGCAGCCTGTGGCCCGGGCACGGCCACTGCCTGGCCACTGTCCGGGAGCCGGGCCCCAGGACAGCCCCCGGGGGGCCCAGGTCTGAGAGGCTCCACCATGCTGGTTTCCGACCAGGCCCCAGGCCCCGAGGGCCAGTCCCGGCTGCTGGGCGCGTCCACTGCGCCCCTGCCCACCGGGGGCCCCGCTCGCCGTGGCCAAGGGCAGGGCTGGCCTCCAGGCTCCGTGTCTCGTGCTCCCGTCTGCCCACCTTTGGAGCTCCGAGAGCTGCCGTGCCCTGGGCATCCTGCCCCTGAGGGGCGGTGGGCACACGGGGCTGGGGTGGGGCCGTCCCAGTGCTGAAGTGAGGAGCGAGGAGCAACGCTGGGGTGGGCAGCCTCCCCCCCGCCCCCACTGCCTGCGGGGCCTCCTGCCCTCCTGCCCTAACCGAGGTGCACCCCCTCTGCGTGGGAGGTGCGCCAAGTGTGACGGGCCCCGGTCCACGTCCTGCTGCCGCCTGGGGACACCCCCGCGCCAGGACCCGGGGGTTCACATGCTGGTTGTCGTGACCGTCTGGGGTCCGTGGCCACAGGGGAGGGTGTAGAGCTGTGTTTGTCGGGCCTCCCCCAGAACTGGGCCAAGTGCACAGGTGGGCCACTTGGGGTGGAGGCTCCCCACCTTCTACTCAGAGCCACCTCTGCCTCAGAGGTGGGGGTGCTGCCCTGGGCCTCTAGACCAAGCGTGGGGGGCAGTGCCGGGGCGGCCAAGGGGTCAGTGGGCGCACAGGGCCCCACAGGCAGTCAAGCTGCAGAATCTTGGGGCCCCTCAGCCTGAGCCCCGTGCCACCACTGTGGGGAAACCCGGGGCTTTCACAAATGGGGAGGCTTGGAGTGAACTGAAACCGCCTTCCCTGCTCCCACTCTGTGACCCCGGAAGTCAGGGCAGGGTGTAACTTCTGCTTTTGACCCTAACAGGAAGGGCCCAGGGTTCTATTTTGACACTTCTAGCTCCTGATTATAATCTTGGTGGGAACCCAGGAGCAAGGTCACCTCCAAAAAGTCAGAAACTGGGGCTGGACAGGGCCTCTAAGCACTGGGACCCTGCCATGGGAGCCCCGGGGGTCCTCCTCCAGCCAGAGCCCCTGGTACAGAGGCAGGGGTTACAGGAGAGCAGAGGTGAGGGCAAGACCCACCTCCAGGCTCACCCAGGGCCGGCAGGCCACAGCAGGGGCCATGTGGTCCTCCACACAGACAGGCCTGGGCTGGAGCCACTGCTGGTCCCGGGGCTGCCTGCCCAGATTTGGAACCCTGAGGCCACCCTGCTGGCCCACCAACATGAGGGAGGGCGTTGGGGAGAGGAGCTGGCACTCGAATTACACTCAGGGTGAGCTGTGCTGATCCTGGTTTCTGATAAAACACACCCCTTCCTGCCTGCTACCTCCTGTCTGCTGGCTTCTCAGCACCCTCTCCACCCTCTTGGTGTCAGATAAAAAGGCTACAGCCCTACGTGGTTCTCAAACCCGGTCACCCAGGAGCCCAGGAGCCCTGCCACCCGTCCGGGGAGCTGATCTGCAGGAGGTTTGCTGCTCTGGGCCCAGCCTGGGTCCCTCAGGGCATCCTCCCCACGAGGGTGGAGCCGCCCTCACTGGCTCCTGCGCAGCGGGCAGCCGGTTTGAAGGTGCTGCCACTGCCTCCAAGGACCAGAACCAGAACCAGGACGCCAGGCCTCCAGTCCTGCCCTGTGATCTTGCCTCTGGGAATAACAGGGCCAGTCTGTGATGTCAAAATGCCTTGTCCCCTCCCCCAACCCCGCTCCAGGCACTGGATTGTTAAGGACAGCAGGTGTCAAATAAGAAGAATGAAACAATGGCCGCCCAGAGCTGGTGGCCTGGGACGAGGAGGGCGGTGGCTCTGCAAGCCCTTCTGCCGTCCAGCCCAAGCTCCTGCGCTCGCAGCACGGTGAGGCCAAGCTAACCAGAGCGTCAGGGTTCACAGCGGAGAAAGGTGTATTGCAGGCCCAGGGAAGGAGAACTGGCGGCTCATGATCAAAGACCCGGGCTCCCCTCCCCGGCGGGGTTCAGGGGGGGCTTCTAAGGCAAAGTGGGGGGGGGCAGAGGCGTGCGACCCGCCCACGCACAGTTCTGACTGGCTGACGGGGGTCCCGGGGCAGCGTCCGAGGGGCTGACACCGTGCATCCTCGGGCTCCAGGAGGTCTGCGGGCTGCGTGCTCAGGGTCACCGTGCAGTTAGCTTCTTCCACGTGGCGGGGTTTCAGCGTCTGTGAGCCGCTCAGGAGTGCGCGTCAGACACTGTTACGTAGGCACCTCAGGGAGGAGCTAAAGGTTCTGTGACTGCCATGTGGCTGACCTACTATTTAAATTGTCACCAGTGCTCCCGGCCCAGCTGCGACTTTTGTCACTACATGTTCACATCCCTTTAATCATTAACTCTTTAGCCAGGTTTTTGTGACTCAGGGGAGGCCTGGGGCGTACGGTTCTCCTACTAACAAGAGGCAGGCAGAGGACATGGGGGGGGGTCTGTCCTGAGAAGGCCCCATAAGGCCCGCAGGACGCCCAGGGGCCAGCTGGCACAGTCCTGGTGCTGGAAGGTGCTCCGAGTTTGCATCTGCTCCGAGTTCTGGGTCTGCCTTCTGCCAGGAGGCCTGGGCCAACCGAGTCTCTCCTCTAAGCTCAGCTCAGTTCACTGAGGACTCAGGGCCACGAAGGCCACGCAAGGCCCCAGCCCAGAGCATGCGGCGCCATGTGAGAGTCTGTGTGTGTGTGTGTGGTGTGTGCGGTGGGCGTGTGCACCTGTGTATCACTGGCAAGAGGCCAGCTCCCCGCTCATCCTAGGAGGCCAGGGGGCTCAGCGTTTAGGCCTCCTCCCCTGCAGGTGGCACAGCCCTGTGGTAGGGCAGTCGGGGAGGCGGAGCCCACCCCATGCTAAGTGCCCCACAGCAGCAGGGACGGGCTCTGTGTCTCCCGGCCCAGGGCCTGGGGCCAGAGGCCCTGTCACCAAGCCCCTTCCTCCACAGGACATGCTGCCCCAGTGCGCCCAGCTGCTCCTCCTGGCGGGCCTGCTCGCCCTCCCGTCAGGTGAGTCTTGCAGGGGCACATTCCGGGTCCAGGTCGGGAAGAGTGGGACCCGCCCCGGCACACCCCAGGCTGAGGGATGACCCCCTCGGCGCCTCTGCGTAGGACCCAGTGGGTCCCAGCCTCCTGGAGACCCCTCCTGGGAGGCCCTGGATCCCCCCTCTTCCTGGCCTTCCTGCTGAACCTCCTTCTCCACCCACCCCTGTGAGCGGGTTTGGTCATCTGTTCAGGCCCTGCACTGGTCATCGCAGCCCCCGGAGGGCCTGCTGGCTCTGGGTGGGGGGGGGGCGGTCAGCCAGGACACGCCACAGCCCTGCTCACCAGCCTGTCCGGTGTCCCCCAGCCCTGTCCCAGGAGTGCACCAAGTACAAAGTTAGCACCTGCCGGGACTGCATCGAGTCGGGCCCCGGCTGCGCCTGGTGCCAGAAGCTGGTAAGAGCCACACAGAACGGCATCAGCCACCTGAGGGTCCTCATGCCTGGCCTGCCCTTTCCCCCTGGGCTGGACCCCTTTCTCTGCCTCTGAGGCTGCCACCCTCCGGAGCCTGACCCCTCTGCTTTCTGGTGGAACAGAAACAGCCCAGGGACACAGCGTTGTCAGGGAGACAGATGGGCAGACACAGCCTCATCCCCGGGCAGCCTGGTGGAGGCAGACCCAAGAGTGGAGCCACTGGGTCAGGCCTTTTTTCTTTAAAGATAGATTGTAAAATGTATTTTAAATAATTCAGATAGTAAGAATCCTTAAGCATTCAGTATATGGGTTTGTGTCTAAAAAAACAGTAAGCAAAAGAAATGTCAAAGTCATACGTCGATGCAGCCAGTGCAAAGCGGTCCTGGGTTGAGACGGGGGTGGGTGGAACGGCCCAGGCGTGGTCCAGGCTCGCACGTCGTTTTTACCTCAGTCCCTTTTCTTCATCAGAAAATGTACCTTCGAACTCTCCTTTCTTGAAATCCACAGTTGAATGATACCAGCTGAAAGAAAATCACCACCGTGGAGGCAGGAGCCCTGGCCAGGGACCCCGGGGGGATGCATGCTGTGGGGATGTGCGGGGGGGGCAGCCCCAGCTCCCTGCGCCCGGCAGACCGTAGCCCACAGCCGGCAGTCCACCCTCGGGCTCTCAGGATGTGGAGGCGTGGGCAAGTGCCTGTCGGAAATTTAACTTTCTGTTATCCTTAGTAATGTCGTGTTTCACTCGTAAGGCCCTCTGGGAAAAGGGCAAGCAGGTAACGTGTGGGGAGATACTCTGGGGCCAGGAAATACTCTGCCTCCCACCGAGCTTACACCCACTAACACCAGGGTCCACTGGCGACAAGTGCCTGAATCGTTCACCCCCGGGGTGGCTGCGACTCGGCGACGCTCCTGTTCTCCAGTCCTGATGGCTTCGGATGGCCGGGACAACTTCTCCTTCCCCCAGGCTCCCTCCCCCAGTCTCTCTTCTCCATATAGACCCATCGATGTTTAGTTTTTGCAGGAGTTTACGACCCATCACTTTCGTTGTGTAATTCCGATGCTCAAATCGCTCCCCATTTGGCCCCGGGAGCCCCACGGCTGGCTCTGTCCCACCGTTGTGTCTTGAGCCCACTCACTCTCTGAGGCCCCCAAACGCTCCCCGCCCATCCTGACTCCCCTGGCTCCGCCAAAGAATCAGACATTTCTCTGAGAGTTCCCAGTTCCCCTTTATGGGAAGCCTGGCCCCTGACATCGCAAAACATTTCCCCATTTTCTGAATCCCACAATTCCTGAAAGTGGTTTCCACGTTGCTGGCCACACCACTGCTGCGGAGGGGGTCGCGTGGCCTGTGCTTTCTCGTCTTCCTGGGGCGCGGTCACTGTCCGGGCTGGAAAAGTCCCTCCTCGGGCTGGGTTCCTCCTCCCCTTTGGTGAGCTTGCTGTATTCATCTGAAATGCAGCTAGGTTCCATTGTTTCTGCTGGACTCCATTTTCAGGGATTTTTTTTCCCTCCCCACTCCTGCTGAGCGCTTTATTTCTCCAGTAGGGAGAGAGTCCGCAGGTTCCGAAAGTGAAGACGGTACAGGGGCAGCTCAGAAAGCTTCACCCGCCACGGCCCAGCTCCCACACCCCGCCGGCTCGGCCCAGGGCACAGGGGGTCACTCTTCCCGGGTCCCCTTTCGAGGAGGGAAGCAGAGAGCTGTCGGTGTGCTTCTGAACAAATCTCCTGTTTAGCTGCCATCCCTAGGAGGCAGCAGGCTCTGGCCTCGTGGCGGGACCCACTGAATGTAGCCCCGTTCTCTCCCTGCCATGTCAGAATCCAGGGGGCCCCACCCCTCCCCTCTCCGGCCCCTCTCCTCCTAAATTGCTTGGCCCGGAACCCTAGCTGCACGCCAGGCCTCCCGGTGCCCAGGGGCAGCCCCAGCTGCTGAGAGGGGACACGTGGACTCCTGCAGGAGAGAGCCATGCCCTCTGACCACGGCGCTGCTGACGGCTTGAAAAGCCTGGGCCAGAAGCTCGATGGCCGTGGAGGGCTCCCTGGGTCAGCCTGGGGTCGGAGACGTTGGTTCTTGGGTGTTCCTGCTGCTGGAGGCAGGGGGAGAAACCCGCCCACCCCTGGCTCTCCTGTGATCTGGAGCCCCGTGGAGGGGCCGTCCGGGAGGCACGTGTTTCCTGGCTGTCCAGCCCCTACCTCGTCCCCCACAGGGTCTTCTGTCCTGAACCCAGAGCAAATGAGGGGGGTCAGCCTCGCACAGCACCCACAGTGTGGCCCGTGTTTTCTCTGCCCTACCCTGACCCCTGCGCCCACCCAGAACTTCTCTGGGCAAGGGGAGCCTGATTCTGTGCGCTGTGACACGCGGGAGCAGCTGCTGGTGAAGGGATGTGCGGCGGACGACATCATGGACCCCAAGAGCCTCGCCGAGACCCAGGAGGACCGGGCAGGGGGCCAGAAGCAGCTGTCCCCACAGAAAGTGACCCTCTACCTGAGGCCAGGTAGGCTTGGCCCTGGCCGGGGGTGAGCCGGCTGGATGGTGCATGCATCCTTGTGTCCAGGTCAGACCGCTGGTAGGCCGAGAGGCCTCGGGACGGCTGGGGACCAGAGTCCGGGCTGCTCTCTCTGTCCCCGGGAGGATGCCCCCAGCTCCCGCTTCTGCAGCTGGGGCTCCCTGGTGGCCCTGAATCTGTGCCCTAAAAGGGAGAACAAACCATCTGGATGACGCCCTCGATGGCCAGACGCTCTTGGCGGAGCAAAGGCTCTGGGAAGTCTGATAGCCAAAGGACCCGAGTAACCATTTATTTTTATTTTTATTTTTGTGGGGAGAGGCAATTAGGTTTTCTTTTTTTTTTTTAAGGAGGTACTGGGGATGGAACCCAAGACCCTGTGTGTGTTGAGCATGCACTCACACTGAGCGACACCCTCCCCCGCAGTAACCGTTTAGTCAGCGATGCCCAGACTGCCTTGACCACAGCCCCCCCTTTCAGGACACAGCTCCCTGCCAGCACCCCTCAGTAGGCGGTGTGGTGCGGCAGCAGGAGGAAGTGGTGGATGGGCCGGGGCAGGGCTGGGCGCCCACGCACCGGTGCCATCCTGAGAGGGGCAGTCCAGCAGGGAGCTGATGGCGGAAGGTGGGCAGGCAGCGGGGGCCAGACAACGCAGAGCAGAAACCCAGGGGCTGGGAAGGAGGAAAAGGGTGTCCCCAAGATGGCCGGGGGCCTCCCCGGGAGGGGATGGATTTGCTTGGCAGCAGTGGAAGAGAAGGCCTGGCCAGGCAGAGCCCAGTGGCACCAGGCAGACCTGGATTTCAACGGTGCCTGACACACAGCGAACACTTTTTACTGTCAGTTTGTCCCAAACAGTCTTCCGTGGGGGAACATGTTCTTCATCTGAAATTCAAATCTGGGTGGGCGCAGCCTCAGGGAATGGGGGAGTCCTGAGGGTCCTGGGGGGAGCAGGCCCCTGAGACGCCTGGGCAGGCGACAGGGCCCTCACTCCCTCCGGACCTGCTGGCAGGCCAGGCGGCTGCATTCACGGTGACCTTCCGGCGGGCCAAGGGCTACCCCATTGACCTGTACTACCTGATGGACCTGTCCTACTCCATGCTCGACGACCTCATCAACGTCAAGAAGCTGGGGGGCGACCTGCTCCGGGCCCTCAACGAGATCACCGAGTCCGGCCGCATCGGTGAGGCCGCCTGCCTGTGCCGCCTGGGGAGGGCAGGGCGCGGGGCTCCAGACCCCGTGTCGCCAGAGCGCCCCGCCCCCGCCACGTGGCCCTCGCTTTCTCCCGGGTGGAGGTGGGAAGCCCAGGCTCACGGCCCCGCCTCCACTCCAGGCTTCGGGTCCTTTGTGGACAAGACGGTGCTCCCCTTCGTCAACACGCACCCCGAGAAGATGCAGAACCCCTGCCCCAACAAGGAGAAGGAGTGCCAGCCCCCGTTCACCTTCAGGCACGTGCTGAAGCTCACCGACAACTCCAACCAGTTCCAGAGAGAGGTCGGGAAGCAGCTGATCTCGGGGAACCTGGACGCCCCTGAAGGCGGGCTTGACGCGATGATGCAAGTGGCCGCGTGCCCGGTGAGGCCCCATCCGTCCCCGGTGGTCCCTGACTTCCCCAGACCTGGGAGCCTCCATCCCCAAAGCCACAGACTCCGCTATGAGCTTGCCACCCCACGCACGTCTCTTGAAGCCTGAATATAAGCAAATGATCCTGTAAAGCAAGACCGCGGAGCCGCCCCAGCCTGGCAGTTCCTGCAGTGGAATCACCCCTACTTCCAGTGCCTCTCCAGGAAGAGGGGGTGACCTTGCCAGGCTCCTCCACGCTCATGTGGCTCAAGGGGCCTGCAGGTCTGCCTCCTGGCCCCTGCTGACCCCACCCGCATGGTCCTGCCCCACTGGCCGCATCTGTGACGTAACGTTAGCCACACGGTCCTGCCACCTTCACGGACTGGACCCCCACACCCAGCCCGTCGTGGCCCCGGGCGCCGTCCTGCACGGCAGACACACATTTTTATCTCTGCGTGATACTGCGGTTCGTGACCTGTGTGTTGCTGACGTGCCCCAGCTCCAACCCCCACCCCCCAGCACCAGTTTCTTCCTTCTGTGTCTGCGGGGCTTTTCTGCTGTGATGAACACGTCTAAGAGTTTGCCCTTCTTCTTGGGAGTGTCCCCTCAGAAGGCAGCCCCAGGCCAGAGCTAGACTAGACCCCGAGGATGCAGTTTCCAAACGTAGACCTGCGTCTGGCCCCGCTCTGGGCCCCGCACGTCACTTGGGCACTTGGGAGGTGTCGCCCTGCAGCAGCTTCTCGGGTTCCCCTGGGCGCTGGAGTCCGGACTGGACACGGGACCCCAGTCAAGCCGCTAGGTCCCGTCTCTGGTCCTCCTGCTCCCAAGAAACGCAGGTGTGGGGGCGCCAGCCCCCAGGCTGCCACGCCGAGCTCCGTCCCCGCAGCTCCCGTCTGCAGGGCCCCCCCCCGTGGACACTGAGGCAGGCCTTCTTCTCAGGAGGAGATCGGCTGGCGCAACGTCACAAGGCTGCTGGTGTTCGCTACCGACGATGGCTTCCACTTTGCGGGCGATGGGAAGCTGGGCGCCATCCTGACCCCCAACGACGGGCGCTGCCACCTGGAGGACAACCTGTACGCGAGCAGCAACGAGTTCGTGAGTGCCCCTCCCCGCCCCTGGGCTGCGAAGGGATGGACAGGGACAGGCACCCAGGCCCCAGGGGCATGGGGAGGCAGGCTCACCCCACCGCCTGGTCCGGTCCAGGGAAGGCACTTTGAGGGCATGGAGAGGGCAGACTTTCTCTGGTCTGGGGATGCCCCGTGGCTGTGAAGCGATGCCCGGCACCCTGGCGTTGGAAACCCCAGGTGCGCACAGCACTTTAGAGACGGGACACTCAGGGGTCCTCCACCTGGAGCCTGCAGACTCAAGGCAGATGTTGGCGGACAGATTTCAGGGGCCCACCGACTGGGACAGGAAAGAATGTGACCTCTGAGGTTCCAGGGAAGGGAACCTCTGTCTGAAATTGTGCCTCCTATAGTTGTGACAATACATGCCACCTGCTGGGGACAATGTCTGAGATTCTGCCCCCAGTGGAGTCAGAGGTGCTTCCCCAGCACCAAGCACGGCCCCTCGAAATGCTGTTCACTGTTGTCTCCACACTGAGTGTCTCGCGTGTCTGCGAGGGGACTTCCTTTTTGGTGCTGTGATCAAGAAGCACGTCACAACTTAATCTTTTCTGGAGCCTATTTCAGTGTCCTCCGTTTCCCTTCTAATCCCATTTTCTTGCGCGTTTGTAAACATACTGGCAACGGCCCCATAACAGACGGAGGCAGGCCTGAGCCTCCGTGCCCGGGCAGTCACTTCCACCAGGCGGGAGCGGATGGGCGCCCTGGACGGCCTGGACCATCTGACTGGGGTCCCCTCTCTAGGACTACCCATCTGTAGGCCAGCTGGCGCACAAACTGGCCGAAAGCAACATCCAGCCCATCTTTGCTGTGACTAAGAAAATGGTGAAGACGTACGAGGTAAGTGGGGTTGAGCAACCTGGCAGGACGGGGCATTGCAGCCAGATGGTGACGAAATGTGGGCTTACTACAGCGGGCTCTGCTCCTGCACCGGGTGTGCGGGCGGCCGGGCTCGGGAAGCGGGGCTGCTGTCAGGAGCTGAGGCTGCCTTAGGCCACGTGACCCTGACATGAGGATGAAAGATGGTGTGAGTCCCCACCGGCAAGTCCAGTCGTCCTGGTTTTGCGACAACGAAGCAAACCTTTTGGATCTGCAGACCCGATTCTCCAAGTCAGGGAAACTTTCTCATTTTGTGCCCACACCCGTTCGCCATCAGCGCTTCTCAGGAAGTGCAAGGTGCACACAGGAGAGCCCTCGAACCTCCAGCGCACAGCTCAGTCTCCCACCCGGGAGCCAGCGGGCGCCAGGGCCGCGCAGGCGGCTGTGGCAGCCCTTCCTGCTCGGCCTCCCGAGCCCTGGATCTGTCCTGACTTTACCGCATTGCCAAATTCTTCCGTGGTGGGAAACCCCAACCCTAACCCTAACCCTAACCCTCCCCTCCCCTCCTGTGGAATCTTGTTTTGTCCTAGAGTGTTTTTCATTCCTCCTTCCTTCTCTCCCGGTCACTGTGGGGGTATTTTACTTGCTGTGTTCTGTGTTTTCAAGTGCTGGGTTCAGTGTGGGCGGCCTCTCGGACTCTGATGGGCTGGGAAAGTCTCCCGCCCCTCTCCTGCCGTAAGCCCTGTTCCACTTTCTGCTGCTCTGTCTGGCCCACTGTCCCCCACCTGTGAGGTGCAGGGCACTTGCCGGGGCCCACAGTGGGACCAGCAGCTCCTACCCTCAGCTTTCCCAGATCAGACAGGGTGAGGGGGACACTGAGTGGGGAGGCACAGGTGTTTGAGAGGCCCGGGGGGGTGGTGGGAGATGGTCAAGCCACAGGGACAGTGCTGCCCTCAGTATAGGGCTGGCTGGTGGCTGGGTGAGGACCGGCCACCCTCACGAGCTGCCTGAGCACCCGCAGGTCTGGTCTCGAAGCTGCCGTGTCCCCTACTGTCTTCTGGGACAACGGTTCCCTCTTCACAGGGTGGTAGCAGGTCCCAGTAACTTGCTGTTAAGAGCAGAGGTCGTGTCCCAGAAGACAGTGTGGCAACGGGGTAGAAGCTGGAGACTCGAACCCCAGACCCTGCTCCCTACGGTCACAGCCTGGGCCGGTCACCAGCCTTTCTGAGCCTGCACGTCCTGATGCCCTTTCACGGGGCTCCCGAGGGAGGGCTCAAGGAGACCCAGAGTCTGTGCCTTACACTGGACCCTCCTTGGTGCTTTCCTGCACCGGCAGAGAGCAGGTGGCTGGGAGGAAGTGAAATAGCACATATTTCTGAGCCCTGGTGGGGTCCTGAGCCTGGGGAGCAGGGGGTAGCGGCCAGGCTGTGACGGTCCTCATAAGCTCTATGGAGGGGACTGCACTCCATTCTGGGGGGTCACAGCAGCGCTTTGGGGCAGGGATGGTACCCAGCCCCCGGTTCTGTAAGACAACGGTGATGTTGCAATTTTCCATGCAAGATGGCATGACTCCTGAGCTGAGCTCAGCGTGGGTGGAGGAAGCTGGGGGCACATACATTCCCCGGAGGCTGGCCCCAGGCCTGTCTGCACAAAGGGTGCTCCGGGCTGCCCACCCCAGGGGTGCCCCTGGACCAGCTGGCACTGGCCTGCCAGAGCCAATTGTCACTTTGTTGTTTAACACAGTCATTATTAAAATCAAATTATATCAACTCATTAGCACGCTCAGAACTCACCGCTTCCTGGTGTTACGCCATGTGTTATGATCACCCATGTGCTGAGACTGTCTGTGCCTACCCTGTCTGTGTGGTGGCGTCGCCACCTAAAGGTGACTAAGCGCTCCTTCCCAGCACTGCTCTCCGTGACTTCGCCAGCTTGAAATCAACCAGGGTGGAGTATTTAGACCAAAGAAATCGGCAAACGCTGCAATTCCAGGCTCTTTCCTTCCTGGGAGCCGAGTGTTAAATGTTTACCAGCACGCCACTAACCGCGTGCTGTCCTAACCAAACACGAGGAGAAATCGGTGGGGGTTCTCTGAGCCATTCCACAAACAAGAAGGAACCCCTCTGGGGTTTTACAAAAGTGGGTGGACACTGAGGTTTCCTCGGCACCCGGGTTCTGGCTGTGACCCCCTGTGTGCTTCCTTGGCAGAAGCTCACGGAGATCATCCCCAAGTCTGCGGTCGGGGAGCTCTCGGAGGATTCCAGCAACGTGGTCCAGCTCATCAAGAACGCCTACAACGTGAGTCCCCCAGGCGCTCGGCTGGGGGCCCTCGGTGGTCAGCACAGACACCGTCTCCCTGCAGGTCAACAGAAGGGTGGTCTGGAGAGGAGAGCCCCCGCCTTGTAGGGGCCCCCCTCGGGCTTCCCCCAGGGCGGCTGTGTCCTCCCTCGCTGATGGCATGGTGGGTGCCACGCCAGACCCTCCTGGACCTCCCCTGGAGCACTGGCACCAGACCCTCTTCCAGCCAAGGTCCTGCAGGGAGCACACGGTGTGGGCTGATGCCACTGCGTTAAGCTAGAGCCCCGTAGAGGAGGATCCGTTTGCTGCTCACACCCTGTTAAAGCCCTAACCCCCCTGAGCAGACCCTCCCGAACTCCAGGGCTGCCTGGCGGGGGTTCTTTGTACTGGTGATGCCGCCATCAGTGGCTCATTCTCCTCTCTTGTCTCTCTGTCTGTCTGTTTCTCTCTTTGTCTCTCTCTCTGTGTCTCTCTCTCATTCACTTAAACAGTTTTTTCAGCTCCCATCCTGGGCCGGGCACTGGGGCCTCAGTGGTGAGTGGACAGTTGAGCCCCCTGTTCTCATGGGGCCATGTCCTGTCTCTGTGTCCAGCCCCTCCACGTGGCCTATCTTGGGGGCCATGGTGTGGGTAACCCTGCCATCAGACTTCATGGGGCACAGGACCCAGCACCCACCCGGCGCTCAGTGGACGCGCAGGTGGAGGGAGGGGCATGAGAGGCGTGCAGGTCGTTGGCCAGGAAGGGCTGGGACAGTGGGACCATCCTAACCGCTCTGCTTTTTGCCCACAGAAACTGTCCTCCAGAGTCTTTCTGGATCACAACGCCCTCCCTGACACCCTGAAGGTCACCTACGACTCCTTCTGCAGTAACGGAGTATCGCAAGTGAACCAGCCCAGAGGGGACTGCGATGGTGTCCAGATCAACGTCCCGGTGAGACTCCCTCTCAGCTCTGGAAGGGGCTCCCCCAGGGACATCAGGTGGAGATGCACCCTGGCAAACAGGCTTCACTGGCAGTGGGGGCCCGGTCCACTGTGGGTCCGGTTCCCTCCTTTAAAAATTCTCTCCAAGGAGGCCAAACACTGTTTGTGGCCAGTGTAGATGGACCACGGCAAGCTGGCAGCGCCCCCTCGGGGCAGACACTGAGCACAGCGCAACCCGCTTAAGAAGGGCGTTCCTTCCATGTGAGGCACCTGCTTTGGTTTGATTTTCCTGATGTTTGTAGTTTGGTTTGGTCTTTTGACAAAGACACTAAAGCAGGGGCCATACAGATGATTAGAAATAGGCATTGGGTTGTTTCCCAACTATTTAAAATGTATCATAACCATAACAATTAAACTTTTCTTTGACCAGCTGTAAAGTAATATTCAACAAAATTCTTGCTTTGCTTGCATCTTTAAGTCACACTGGAATTCTTTCAAATATGTGACTTACTAAATTCCGGGTGGGAATTTTTACTGGAATACCCCTCCCGTACCGGGCGATCCACACGGGAATTTATTCAGTCTGTGGTTGGCTGACTGTTTCCTCCACGTTCCTGCTCTGTCTTAAATGTACTGGAAGGAAACTGATTTAACTTGATTTGCAGTGAGGCTTGCTTTGGACGAGCTGGTGCTCCCTGGAGCTCAGTGCTGGCTTCTGCGTCAGGTGTGCAGTGTGGGTGGCGGGGACTCTGCCCTGCCCGCTTGGGCATTCAGGGTCAGAGTACAACCCCACAGGCAGAACCTCGGACTTCCTGTGGGATTCTGGCGTTTTAGCCTTCTGGGCTCCAGGACAAGCTATATGGAGAAAAGACATATCCTTTATAAAGTCACTTGAAAACCCTTCTTGAGAGATATGTGACTCAAAGTATTCCGAAGACACTCTCGCCCAAGCCCAAGCCACCAGAGGAAGGGGGGGGTGCTCTGTGGCCCCTGTGTTCCAGCATCTCTGGACTTCCTCCTTCCCTCGTCTCTCCTCCCAAGTTGAGGAGCCGTTCCGAGTGTCTGTGTTCCCCACACCACCTCGATCCACTCCCTCCCGGGCCCAGCAGAGGCTGCGCCCTCCATGCCTGAGAGCCCTGGCCGCTGGTCCTCACCTGCTAGTCTGTGCCTTTGTCCTTGCTGCCCAGGGAGGAGATGGGAGCAGGGCTGCGACCCCAGTGTCTGGTGTTCACCTGGGCCCTGCTTTCCCACGGCAGATCACCTTCCGGGTGAAGGTCACAGCCACAGAGTGCATCCAAGAGCAGTCATTTGTCATCCGGGCACTGGGCTTCACGGACACGGTGACCGTGCGGGTCCTCCCCCAGTGCGAGTGCCGGTGCCGGGACACCAGCCAGAACCCAAGCCTCTGCAGTGGCAAGGGCTCCATGGAGTGCGGCGTCTGCAGGTGAGACGGCCAAGGCCCGGCTGGCACAGGGGCTCCCGCTGCAGGGCGGTACCGCCCTGACCTCACACTTCCCGGCAGGTGCAATGCAGGCTACACTGGGAAGAACTGCGAGTGCCAGACGCACGGCCGGAGCAGCCAGGAGCTGGAGGGAAGCTGCCGGAAGGACAACAGCTCCATCATCTGCTCGGGGCTGGGGGACTGCATCTGCGGGCAGTGCGTGTGCCACACCAGCGACGTGCCCAACAAGAAGGATCTACGGCCAGTTCTGCGAGTGTGACAACATGAACTGCGAACGCTACGACGGCCAAGTCTGCGGGGGCGAGAGTGAGCGCTGGGGACAGAGCGTCAGCCGCGGGCCGGGCCTGGGCGGGTGCGGGGCCCGTGGGGGGCTCGGGCGGGGCTGAGTCGGCGCTGGCTCCTGTCTTCCAGAACGGGGGCTCTGCTTCTGCGGCACCTGCAGGTGCAAGGACGGCTTCGAGGGCTCGGCGTGCCAGTGCCCCTCCTCCACGCAGGGCTGCCTCAACCTGCAGGGCGTCGAGTGCAGCGGCCGCGGCCGGTGCCGCTGCAACGTGTGCCAGTGCGACAGGAACTACCAGCCACCGCTGTGCGTCGAATGCCCGGGCTGCCCGGTGCCCTGTGGCCGCTACGCGTGAGTGTCCCGCCGCCCCGCCGGCCTCGC